GCGAGAGGAAGCTGCCGCTGTCCGTGGTGCTGAACCGCCGCGCTCGCCCAGCCTCCCGCTCGCCTGGCCCCGCTCGCTGTTCGCCTGCCTCCGTCTCATCCCAGCCATTTGCCGCCGCCGCCGCCACACACGACTCTCCGGGAAAGCCGACCGAGGCGAGGCTGCCCTCGGTGCGTTTGCTGCGGTGGGAGGGAAGCCACACCGCCGCTCTTCCGCCGGTAAAGCCAACTCCTGCCCCCCCCTCCAGCCATCACCGGAGATCTTGGTTGGCTTCTCAGCCGCACGTTGCCGGGAGCAGGCAAGCAAACAAGCAAGCAACCAACCAAGCAAGCAGAGGACCAAAACAAGAGTCCTGTGGGATCGGTTGGCGGGCTCGGGGAGAGTCCAAGCAGCAGCGGCGGGTGCTGGGGAAAACAACAACAACAACACCCAGCACACTGGGATGTCAAGACTTTCTTACTGCAAAGCTACCGGACTTCGGGGGCGAGGAAAGGACGCCAGCGGGCTCCCCTGTTGAGAAACGGAAGCGAAATCTGGGGGTGTTGTTGTGTGTGGTAGGCTGCCGTGTGTGACTGAATTAAGATCAAGACTTCCTTCTTTTCCACGTATGTCGCCCGCCCTTTTCTTTCTTTTTTAAAAGAGAACAACCGAACCTCTCAACCGTGACCAGGATTCGGTTTATCAAAGCATAAATACCGCAGCTAATCCCAACTACTGGCAGCATCTTGCTGTTTAGAAGCAAGTCGACAGGCAGCTTTAAGATTTGAAGGGGCCTTTTTTTCCGTAGTGGTGGTGAAAGAGGACTTTCTCAAGAGGGGTTTCTTCTTCTTCTTGGATGGACGGATAGAGGTGCCTCGATCAAGCCACTTCCCCGGTGTATGCCAGTGAGTGAAAAACTGGAAGTGCTGAATGGGTTAATCCAGATGGCCAGACACAAGGAAGAACTGCTTACTGACCACTGATTACTGTTTCCCCAAGACACTTTTGCTTGGCCTGGTTTGGCCACCCTATTGACTGAAGCGGGAAGCTCAGAATTCCTGGCGAGTTCGCCCCACCCCTCACCACCTTCTTGTCCATTGGAGAAGTGAATGAGAGCCTGGGGTTTCTCCAACGGGATCAGAATTGTACCCTCCCCCTCTTCCAATTTCCGCTTAGAGTTTGATGGCTCTCCATTTGCTTCTATGTGATCATTGAAGGCAGTCACGGTCCCTTTGTGGTACCTGCCCAAGAACGGAGGTTCCTCTTGGTGGTGCCAGGTCAAAGGGCATTTGCCGCCTCATGAAGACGATACCCATGGTGTTTCTGTGAAGCTACGGTATGGCTGCTGGAAGGTTATTGCTCTATGCTGGCCTCTCGTTAGCGTTATGTGCTTTAGGCATGCTAGCCGTGGCCATCTGCTCGGACCATTGGTATGAAACAGATGCCAGGAAGCACAGGGAGCGGTGCAAAAGCTTCACCACCCGGAGGAATGACCCGGGCTTCATTTACAATTCAAACAATAACCTGCCCCTCCGGGCCAGCCGGTCAAAGCTGGACCGATGGGAAGGGAAGCTGCTTTTGGCCAGAAACCGGAGACAGCTCTTTGCCATGAGTGCCGTGGATGAGTGCAATCGACAGTACAACTCAACTAACATGGGGCTGTGGAGGAAATGCCACCGGATGGGCTTTGACCAAGATGTGGATGAGCTCATTGCTAAAGGTAGGGACCTCTTTTTCAGAACTAACCTGGCTGGTTAACCTCGGGGAGGGGGCAAAGCTTAGCCGCAGAGTACATGCATGGCATGGAGCAAGTCTTGGGTTCAAGCCTAGAACGTATTGGTGGAAAAAGTCATATCTGAAGCCCTGGGAAAGCCACTGCCAGTCAGTGTCAGCAGTACTGGGCTAGATGCACAAAGAATGTCATTTCACATAGAGCAACTGTCTATGTTCCTAAATGAGTATCCCCCCCCCTCCAAACAAAATAGCAGTGAAATGCTGCACATGTCTTAAACACAGGTGAATCCCACAGATAGCTACTCAGAAATCTATTGATTTACTCTCAGGCAACAGTGTGCAGGGATGCAGCCTACATAGGCTTAAACCAGATGCAGCCTTCAAGTTGGGGTTTCTTATGTAAAGTTGTAATGTTTACAAGCTCAATGCCCCCCCAAATCATTCCACTGGCCTAACAACTACAGGTGATAATTCAGAAAAGGGACAAATGTTTGGTGATGGTTCTCCAAATGACTTGATATGGATAAATGTACAAAGGGTGAGAACATTTCATTTGGCTGCAGATTTATGGGCCTTGTATAGGAAGGAATCTGTAAGGTCACCAACCTGTTTTTCAGTTTAGTCATCTTTATAAGGGCACACATTGCAGAGGCATCTAGATCTCTTCCTTCATGGAGAAATAATGCCAAGAACCAACAGTGGAAAGCATTTTGAATCTGACTTTGATTAGCCAAATCTAGCTAATTTTTTTACTCATCACTAATCTTGCACTCAAAATCTGGATTACTTCTGAATTAAAATAGTAAGCTGGTTTTAGCATGGAACAAAGAACAAACAATAGGAAATATTAGCTTGAAATAGAGAGAGGAAAACTCAGTGGCTACAGGTTATTCAGAGAAAATAATTGAGTTGCAATAGGTAACAATAATCTAATCTGATGCATTAAGAAATTGCTAGAATGGAACAATTATATCTCCAAGGGAGATACATCTGTTGGCCAAATTCTTTATCTTCTTTTTAAACTAACCCTTTTGGCTAATAATTATGGTTAATTATGTATGTTTTCTTCTGCTTGCGTGTCATTGAAGACATAAGGAATATGCACAAAAGGCATATACAAGAACGACATTTAGTAAAGCATTAGGGAGGGTGTTGAAAAGTATGTATTTATAAGGCATGTAAGGTATGAGCAGAGCATTTCTGTATGACTGCTGCTTACATTAGTATTTCATTGTGAAACAAAACAGAAGCTTCCCCAGTGCTTCTTAAGATGCCTTAAAAGGAGAAAATTGAATGGTTTTCTTGCACACAGCATATAGGCTGGTTCTTCCTCTGTTTTACATCGCTCCTGTTTCAGAAAAGGGAAATAGTTGCACCATTCTTTACCCTCAGTTTTCCTGATTTTTTTTGGGGGGGGGGAGGAGCCTGCTTCTATTTATCTCTTGCATAGATTTCAGCTGCTTTTGCATAAATACATAGCTTATCAATATATTCCGTTTCTCTTCTGCAAGGATTACAAAGGTCAACAGTACAACATAAAACACCCTTTAAAATGAACAATACAGTCAGAAGCCTGTCGTTTCTTTGTTGTGTGTTCAGATGCAACCTTAGATTGAGTGGCTGAGAGGCGTTAACAGGCTAGCGGCTGCTTGGTGACTTCATCAAATGCCTTCTTGGCTCTGTTCCATTTTATAATGGGCAACTGTCCATGATCAGAAGTTGTCATCCCAGTGTGATTGGCAGGTTCAGCTGGGAAGCTAAGGATGCTTCCAGGTCAGGGTTTGTTGGCACAGCACGGAAAGGAATGATGGGAATATAGCGTGGATGGACCTCTTCTCTGGATCAGGCAAGCAACTTGAGGCTGTAGCCATTACCATTTCAGTCCTGGTGCTAAATATAACAAAGGGATTGCATTCTGCTTTACAGAGCAGGCTTGCAGTTTGGCTTTCCAATGAACTCAGTAGCTTTCACAAAACAAATATCTCTGGTTTGCCTGCTCATTTGTAAAATGGATTTAGTGAGAACATAGTTATATGGGCATAAATTATGAAAACATGAACATTCACTGTGTATATACTTACAATGACAATAAATTATATTATTATTATAAATTATGAAAACATGAACATTCAGTGAAGGCATAGAATGTGGCAAGAAGCAAAAAGAAAAGGAAAAGCCTGGTCTTGTACATAGAATAGAGGATGTATAGAATCAACATATGTATTCCACTACACTACAATCCAGTTTTACAAATCCGTTCTTCCCTTGTGGCTACCGCTGATCGTTTACACAATACTTTCAATCTGCTGAGTGCATTACTGTTTTTATTTTGTTTGCTGTCACTCTGTATTAGACCTGGATAATTAGATTTTAACAGATAGAGAATGGAGGTGGAGAGATAGCAGCTCGCTCAAAGCGGAAAAGTGCTTCCAAAGGATATATTGATGGGCCTGTATATAGGAAGCCCATGTCTGTGTTCCTGCCTGGAGATGTTGTTCACTGGTTAAACTGGTACAGCTCACCATTCTTTGATCAATTTGCCACTCAAAGTGAGTATAAGATGTCCAAGCAACTGGGAGGAAAAGTGGGTTACAAAAAAGACAGATTAACAGCAGAAGTGCTGTTTGAATTTGGATCATCCAGACTCAATGTTGACTATGTAGCACATTGCCCACATTTTATAATTTTAATGGTTATGCTTTGCTAGGTCAGTGGAATTTGGTCCTCCAGATATTGCCGGAGTACAACTCCCATGAGCCTTAGCTAGTATAGATAGTGGAATGTTGGTAGTTGCACTCCAGTACCATCTGAAGGGCTACACTTTGAGGAACATCTGGCCAACCACTCATCTTGGTTACAGCAATTTGTGATTCTTGAATGGAGGAATGGGAAGCTGAAAAGTTGTCTCTGGAATGCAACACCCATCATCTTTCACCATTAATTATGCTAGCTAGAACTGATGGCAGCTGTAGTCCAACATCTGGAGGACCATCCTTTCCCCTGCCTATTTATGAGGAGTGCTACTTGTGGCTTCCTTTGAAAATGTGCAGAAACATCAGATGGTCCCTAGTGCAAGACCTAGACTTTTGACTGGAGCCACTTATCATGAATATGTGACTCTTATTTTTGCTAAATGTTTATCTCCTTCTGGTTTGTTTATACAAAGTGAGGGTAATTACTTTTAAAGCATTAGTGAATGAGGACCAAGATCTCTAAAGGATGTTTGCCTCATGTGAACCATTCATGAATATCAACTGGAGATGCTGTCCTTTCCATCTGTCAAAATCTGAATTACATTTAACTGGAATGTGCAAGAGGACCTTTTTGTAGTTACCCTTAGGTTCTTGAACTCCTTCCAATAGAGGCCTATTGTGGCTCCTTCCTGATGGCATACAACCTGATGGCAAGTAAATTTTGGCATGCAACATCCCAAATTGTTGTTTTGAACTTACTGATGTTTGAGGTTTTTCTAGCGTTCCTTGATTTCCTTCTGCCCTTTACCTTGTTTTAATTGCGGCAGTAGACAACCTGCTGCTCCCATTCTAGCTATTCTGCTTTACAGTGCCCATAATATGTGACTCCTGACCATGTAGCTTGAGTCTTATTGGAGTCATTATCTAAAACATCTGGTAGATCCCAGGCTGCCTATCTCTGAACATTAGAATGAATAATCAGAGTATACATGTTTTAGGAAACTAAATACTAAAGATTAGGAACTCCAGAACAAGAAGCAGTAGTAACTTAGAATCCTTGCAAAAATAAAAAATATAGTAAATATTTTAGCATGCAGAACATCAGCCTTTATCATAAGAGCCATGCTCCATTAGACTAAAGACCTATTGAGCATTCTGCTCCCACAGTGGTTAGAAATATGCTCATGGAAGGACCACAAACAAAATATGAATGCAGAAGTGACTTGTGGCATCTTATAGAGACCAATGAAATTGTTATGGCATAAATTAAATCAGATCCACAATTGTTTTCATTTAGAATGCTATCTGGCATTGTAGGCAATTAATGTCATAAATCACTGGAAGTTGAGCAGCTCTCTGAAGCCTTGATACTCTGGATGCCATCATTAGATCCTCCAAGAGTGTTGTTCTGCACAGCAGTAAAAGGCTAGTTTTGATGCAAACCAGTTAAATTGATACAAATCCAACATGAGAAATGGCAATATTAAAAAAACAGTAGGAGAGCACTTCATCTTCCCAGGCTGGTCTGTCAGTCACCTAAAGGTGGTCATCTTAAAATAATA